TCATCATCAAGATCATCATGATCATCAACATCATCATCATCACGGCACCATCATCTTCAGCAACATCATCATCATCATCATATCATCATCATCATCATCTCCGGGGCACCATCATCACCACCATCACCATCATCATCATCAACATCGTCAACATCATCATCATCATCAGGACACCATTATCATCATCACCACCATCATCATCATCATCATCATCATCACCATCGTCAACATCATCAACATCATCATCGTCATCTTCATCATCATCATCATCATCATCATCATCATCATCGGGACACCGACGGGACATCGGCGGGACACCGCGCGCCACCGGCCCCCGAGCGGGACGCCGGCGGGACACCGCAGGGCAACGGTTGCCGGAAGGGAGACTTTTGGTCCGGCCGCGCCTCAGCTACAGGAGATTTATTTTTCGCCCGCCCACGCAGCTTCGCCTCGCCGCCCGCCCGCACGGCACGCACGAACACGAAACCGAAACCGATTTCCCGGTGGGGGGTCTCCGTTTCACTGGGATCTCACCCCCCAAACTCAGTTGGGCCAGGCGGTGTCCCGGGTGTCCCGGGTTTCCGATAGGTCGGTCGACGGATAGGTAGACAGTGGGATCTCATCGTCATCGCGATCACCATTGTGGTGGAGGGAGACTCTGATACAGAGGGAGAAAGAGAGAGGGCGAGACAGAGAGAGACAGAGAGAGAGAGAGAGAGAGAGCGAAAGAGACAGAGAGAAAGAGAGACATTATATTAAGGTGACCGTCTGGAGGTCAGTCAGGGTGGGCATTTGATGATCTCAATCCCCCCCCAACCTCCTTATCGCCCGCAGGGCGGTCGTATAGGTATATACCTATACGACCACCCTTCGGGTGATAAGGAGGTTCGGGGGGGGAGGAACCAACGTCTCACTCGATCGGTTTCACTATCGATCTCACTATCGATCTCACTCTCGGTCTCGCTCGATCGATCCCAGTCGATCGATCTTACAATCGATCTCACTCGATCTACTACATTCGATCGATCTCACAATCGATATGACTTTCGATCTCAAAATCGATTACACTATCGATCTCACTATCGACCTCACAATCGATCTCACACTCGATCTCATTACCGATAAGCCATTTTGGCTCAAGCGGTTCCTATCGAGGCTGTCACATCACGCGGCGGCCGTTTGAGTTGTCATTCCTTGTCAGGCTTCAACTCGATCCAAAAACCCATCCGATACAATGCGTGAGGCGATCTGCATCCACATCGGGCAGGCGGGTGTGCAGATTGGCAATGCATGCTGGGAGCTTTTCTGCCTTGAGCACGGAATCCAGCCTGACGGCCAGATGCCCTCTGATAAGACGATCGGAGGCGGCGACGATGCCTTCAACACGTTCTTCTCCGAGACTGGCGCCGGCAAGCACGTCCCCCGCTGCGTGATGGTCGACCTGGAGCCCACTGTGGTCGATGAAGTACGCACGGGTACCTACCGTCAGTTGTTCCATCCTGAGCAGCTCATCTCTGGGAAGGAGGACGCCGCAAACAACTTCGCGCGAGGGCATTATACCATCGGCAAAGAGATCGTCGACCTCGTCCTCGATCGGATCAGGAAGTTGGCCGACAACTGCACTGGTCTACAGGGCTTCATGGTCTACAATGCCGTCGGCGGAGGCACCGGCTCCGGGCTCGGCTGCCTGATGCTGGAGCGCTTGTCTGTGGACTACGGGAAGAAGACGAAGGTCTCTTTCACCGTGTGGGCGTGCCCGCAGGTCGCCACGGCAGTAGTGGAGCCTTACAACACTGTGCTCTGCGTGCACTCCCTCCTGGAGCACACAGACGTCACCATTATGTATGACAACGAAGCGCTGTACGACATATGCCGCCGCAACCTCGACATCGAGCGCCCCACTTACACGAACCTGAACAGGCTGCTGGCGCAGATCATCTCCTCGCTGACTGCGTCGTTGCGCTTCGACGGTGCTCTGAACGTGGACATCACCGAGTTCCAGACGAACTTGGTGCCCTATCCGCGCATTCACTTCATGCTCTCCAGCTATGCGCCCGTGATCTCTGCGGAGAAAGCGTACCATGAACAGCTGTCAGTGGCGGAGATCACCATGTCCGTCTTTGAGCCCGCATCCATGTACGTGAAGTGCGACCCTCGTCATGGCAAGTATATGGCATGCTGTATGATGTATCGCGGAGACGTAGTACCCAAGGATGTGAACGCTGCGGTAGCTACTATAAAGACCAAGCGCACCATTCAATTTGTCGATTGGTGCCCCACGGGCTTCAAGTGCGGCATCAACTACCAGCCTCCCACAGTGGTCCCTGGTGGCGACCTGGCTAAAGTCATGCGTGCCTGCTGCATGATCAGCAACTCCACCGCCATCGCAGAGGTCTTCTCGCGCATCGACCACAAGTTCGATCTCATGTACTCGAAACGCGCGTTCGTGCACTGGTATGTGGGCGAGGGCATGGAGGAGGGTGAGTTCTCAGAGGCTCGCGAGGACCTGGCGGCGCTGGAGAAGGACTACGAGGAGGTGGGCATCGAGACGGCGGAGGGTGAGGGCGAGGAAGAGGGTTACGGCGACGAGTTCTGAGCAGGCTGCCACAGGAGCAGCTACACAAGGGAGGCTGACCGAGGAGTCGCGATTAGATCGCTGAGAGACGGCGTGCTTCCACGACTTCTCCAAGACTTGTGTTCTTCCACGCAGTAGATCGGCGTGTCTTCCACGCTGCCCTTGGGCTGTTCACTTGCACGACACATTTTGACTCTGGGTGGCCGACTTGCCAGACCGCCTCGTGTCCCTAGCACCTTGTCATCGCGTTTGCAGAGGACAATTGAAACAAGTGTCAGGGGCACCTTTCGGCTGTTGTGCAGCTTCTCGAATGAGACTAGAAACTAGTGCGCGCCTCAGTCCTCTCACGTGGCTGCTCGTGCCAACGCATGTTGCCAGCCATAGAGGCGGGTGCCTTTGCAGTACTTGCTCGTGTCTACTCTGATCGCGGTGCTAAACAAAATCTCATTACCGATATCACAATCGATCTCACAATCAACGTCATCATCATCATCAACATCATCGTCATCAGCGTCATCAACATCATCATCATCAGCATCATCGGGACACCATCATTATCATCACCACCTCATCACCATCATCATCAGCATCATCATCATCATCACCCTCATCATTATCACCACCATCGGGACACCATCATCGTCACCATCATCATCATCATCAACACCATCATCAGCGGGACACCGTCGTCACCATCGGAGCACCACCATCATCATCTCATCATCATGATCCTGAACAACATTATCAACATCATAATCATCGGGACACCATCATCATCATAATCATTAACATCATCATCATCAACAGCATCATCATCAGTATCGGAACACCATCATCATCGTCACCATCATCATCATCACCATCATCATCAACATCATCGGGACACCATCATCATCAACATCAGCATCATCATCACCATCATTGGACCACCACCATCAAAACCATGATCATCACCTCATCATGATCCTCATCATCAATATCATCATCATCGGGACACCATCATCGTCATTATCATCATCATCATCTTCATCATCATCATCATCATCATCGGGACACCATCATCATCATCATCACCATCATCATCAACAGCATTATTATTATCAACCTCATCATCATCATATTTCTCATCGGGACACCATCATCATCATCATGATCATCATCATCATCATCAGCATCTTCTGCATCATCATCAACATCAAATTATCTGATCATCATCAACATCATCATGCTCATCAACATCATCATCATCACGGCACCATCATCATCAGCAACATCATCATAATCATCATCATCGGGGCACCATCATCACCACCATCAACATCATCATCATCAACATCGTCAACATCATCATCATCAGGACACCATTCTCATCATCACCACCATCAACATCATCATCATCATCATCATCATCATCATCATCACCATCGTCAACATCATCAACATCATCATCATCATCATCATCATCATCATCATTATCATCGGGACACCGACGGGACATCGGCGGGACACCGCGCGCCACCGGCCCCCGAGCGGGACGCCGGCGGGACACCGCAGGGCAACGGTTGCCGGAAGGGAGACTTTTGGTCCGGCCGCGCCTCAGCTACAGGAGATTTATTTTTCGCCCGCCCACGCAGCTTCGCCTCGCCCGCCCGCACGGCACGCACGAACACGAAACCGAAACCGATTTCCCGGTGGGGGGTCTCCGTTTCACTGGGATCTCACCCCCCAAACTCAGTTGGGCCAGGCGGTGTCCCGGGTGTCCCGGGTTTCCGATAGGTCGGTCGACGGATAGGTAGACAATGGGATCTCATCGTCATCGCGATCACCATTGTGGTGGAGGGAGACTCTGATACAGAGGGAGAAAGAGAGAGGGCGAGAGAGAGAGAGAGTGACAGAGAGAGAGAGAGAGAGAGAGAGAGAAAGAGACAGAGAGAAAGAGAGACATTATATTAAGGTGACCGTCTGGAGGTCAGTCAGGGTGGGCATTTGATCTCAATCCCCCCCCAACCTCCTTATCGCCCGCAGGGCGGTCGTATAGGTATATACCTATACGACCACCCTTCGGGTGATAAGGAGGTTCGGGGGGGGAGGAACCAACGTCTCACTCGATCGGTTTCACTATCGATCTCACTATCGATCTCACTATCGGTCTCGCTCGATCGATCCCAGTCGATCGATCTTACAATCGATCTCACTCGATCTACTTCATTCGATCGATCTCACAATCGATATGACTTTCGATCTCACAATCGATTACACTATCGATCTCACTATCGACCTCACAATCGATCTCACACTCGATCTCATTACCGATAAGCCATTTTGGCTCAAGCGGTTCCTATCGAGGCTGTCACATCACGCGGCGGCCGTTTGAGTTGTCATTCCTTGTCAGGCTTCAACTCGATCCAAAACCCCATCCGATACAATGCGTGAGGCGATCTGCATCCACATCGGGCAGGCGGGTGTGCAGATTGGCAATGCATGCTGGGAGCTTTTCTGCCTTGAGCACGGAATCCAGCCTGACGGCCAGATGCCCTCTGATAAGACGATCGGAGGCGGCGACGATGCCTTCAACACGTTCTTCTCCGAGACTGGCGCTGGCAAGCACGTCCCCCGCTGCGTGATGGTCGACCTGGAGCCCACTGTGGTCGATGAAGTACGCACGGGTACCTACCGTCAGTTGTTCCATCCTGAGCAGCTCATCTCTGGGAAGGAGGACGCCGCAAACAACTTCGCGCGAGGGCATTATACCATCGGCAAAGAGATCGTCGACCTCGTCCTCGATCGGATCAGGAAGTTGGCCGACAACTGCACTGGTCTACAGGGCTTCATGGTCTACAATGCCGTCGGCGGAGGCACCGGCTCCGGGCTCGGCTGCCTGATGCTGGAGCGCTTGTCTGTGGACTACGGGAAGAAGACGAAGGTCTCTTTCACCGTGTGGGCGTGCCCGCAGGTCGCCACGGCAGTAGTGGAGCCTTACAATACTGTGCTCTGTGTGCACTCCCTCCTGGAGCACACAGACGTCACCATTATGTATGACAACGAAGCGCTGTACGACATATGCCGCCGCAACCTCGACATCAAGCGCCCCACTTACACGAACCTGAACAGGCTGCTGGCGCAGATCCTCTCCTCGCTGACTGCGTCGTTGCGCTTCGACGGTGCTCTGAACGTGGACATCACCGAGTTCCAGACGAACTTGGTGCCCTACCCGCGCATTCACTTCATGCTCTCCAGCTATGCGCCCGTGATCTCTGCGGAGAAAGCGTACCATGAACAGCTGTCAGTGGCGGAGATCACCATGTCCGTCTTCGAGCCCGCATCCATGTACGTGAAGTGCGACCCTCGTCATGGCAAGTATATGGCATGCTGTATGATCATGGGGAGAGTACTACCGCCAGTGGTCCCCATGGGTAACGTCACACTCTTGGATCTTTCAGCCTCGTCGACAACAGCGTGGAGTGTGACGGCTAACAGTACTACAGTTTCGCCGTTCCCCTGATGGTGGAACGAGCCTGCGGTGTGTTCAGGGGTGGCACGCCCGGGCGCGGCTCAGCCGCACGCACTAAGCCCTACGGTGCAAGTTCTTTCACTGCCGACGGGTTTGAGGTTAAATCATTGGCGAACGACCGCTACGTGCAGCAGCGCCGGGTTTACCGACAGGCCCACCAGCATCTAATTCACGAAGAATTCAGACTTGCAACCCTCAGCGTTCAGCATCTGGACCCGTGGAGATGGGACAACAAGTTCAAGCTCCAGGAGGTCGTCTTGCAAGCACGTCATGGCCGCTGGGACCTTGCTTTCCTCTCTGACGTGCATTGTCCATATGAAGACGTCCGTGTGATGGTGGTGGAAAAGTTTGTTATTGTTATGGCTGGCCACGTTGGCATTCTCATGAACCAAGCGTGTGCGAAGGCATGGCGTGCCACTGGGGCCCGCCGCTTCTGGACGCCCGAGTCCCGACGGTGGTTGGCGATATCTATTCGTATTCATGGTGTCATGTAGAATTGTGTTAGTGGGTATGCTCCCACGCAGCAGCATGCAGCTGATCGGACAGTTTTTTTCGAGGACGGAGATGGTTTGTTTGCGCGTCTTCCTGCTGGTGGCCACGTGCTTGCTGGAGGCGACTGGGACAGCCACTTTGGAAAGGATGCCGCGGGTTGGGACTGGGTGGGAGGACACCTGTTACGACAGCCGTCCAGTCGTCTAGCTTATCAGCTCCAGGAGTGGGCCGTCCCATGGCGTTTGCATCGTGCCGATTCACACATCCATGCGCGGGTGGGTAAGCGGGGTATTTGGAGGGACCCTCGTTTGAATAATTATTACGAAAGCGATTTCTTCCTCACCGCCCTGCCGACGGGATATGCAAGATGGCATGGCCTGACCACGTTTGCTGCTGGAATTTCGGACCACTTCGGCAAGGCGGTCACAGTGAATCTGTTGGGGCGTCCTGGATATTCGTTCCGCGCCAGCCCTGGTGAGGGGTCGTCCCAGTCCACGCCCGCTCGTTTGCGGACGGATCGCATGCGAGGGCCTTCAGCGAGTGCGGAACATAAGCGGGGCGAGTTTTCGGCTGAGGTTACCCGCCGTGTCGCGGAGAACGTCGAGTCAGGGCTCCTACCGCCGTCTCCTTCGTGGTCGGCAGTTTTACGGACCTACCGGGAGGCGGGCGAGGCCGTGCTGGGACGTGATACCCGCGCGTCTGGGGTTCCAGCCGTCGCTGCCCACCGTGAGACGCAGCGGGCGGGGCGAAAGGAACTCAAGCAGAAATGGGAGGATATTCGCTTGTGTGACGACCCCGCCAGAGAGACAACCCTTCGAACGGAACACAAGCAGATGCGTGCTCGGGTGCAGCGTCAGGAGCGCCGATGTAAGGCCGCCCTCATCGAGTCTGTGTGCCAGGAGGTGGAGTATGCCATCGCGCAGCATGACACGGGCAATATGTATCGCTCATTACGTGAGCTCGGCGTCTGGTTGCAGGGTTTCTCTTTGAAGGAATCAGACCCGTTTACCCCAGAGGAGGCCCGCGACCACTTCATTTACATCGGCGGGCAACCGAATTCCGTGCCCGACCTTCCTACTGTTGTGGACAGGTTACCCCAGCGCCCTGTCGACGACGCCCTGGCTGTGCGCCCTGAGACAACGGAAATCGACAACGCCATCAGGACCATGCGCGTGTCTGCGGGGGCAGCGGACGAGGTGACGATTGACATGATCAGGCATGGCGGGGAGCAGGCGCGGCAGTTAGTGAGATTGCTCGTATGGCGCATGTGGGACCTTGAAGACGACGTGTGGCAAGAGGAGGCGGTGTTGAAGGGTGTGATCCATCTCTTGTACAAGGGCAAGGGATCGCGCAGTGATCTCGATAAGTACCGCTGTATTTGTTTACTATCTATTGTTTCTCGAATCCTTGCCCGTGTGCTGGCCCTTCGCTTGGCTGACTGGGCAGAGCGCCGTGATATCTTGGTCAACGAACAGTTCGGCTTCCGCTCCTGGCGCTCTACCCGGGGCGCCGCCATGATCACGCGGATCGTCTTGGAGGAGTCGGCCCGACGGCTCGGCCCAGAGGTCGAGATTACTTCGTCCTTCTCCTGGCGGACATCAAGAAAGCGTACCCGAACACCAGCAGGCAACTACGCTGGGCGGTTCTTGCTCGCGAGGGTATGCCAGAGCACGTTATCGAGCTGCTGCGCCGAGTGCACTCCACGACGCTCTACACAGTTCGGACCAAGCAAGGCGACTCGTCCAACTTCAGCCTCTTCCGAGGCTTACTTGAGGGATGCCCCGCGTCGTGTGTAGTGTACAACGTGGTTCACAACGCTGCCCTCCGTGCTCTCCAGTCTCGATTGCCAGGGGTCTCCGTGCCGTACCGCATCGAAGCCCCGCTCCCGCGGCGTCCTCGCGCAGACGATGATGCCGTTCTGGAGTATATGCTTCGTATTCTTGGCTTCGCTGACGACACGTCCGCGGGCGCGTTGTTTAGCAGGGCTGCCGACGACGAAGCGCTTATCACGGCCACTTTAGCAGAGTACGGCGAGACCACGCACCCAGACAAGTGGGAACGCCTGCGTGTGGGGCGCCATGGCGACGCGGTGCCTGACGGCTACGCCAGCTGGGCCAAGCTTTTCGGCGTGCGTTTTGACGTGGATGGCGGCGCGCGGAAGGACACGGACGAACGTCTCCGTTTGGCTGGTTTGTTGTGGGGGCGAGTCCGCCGCCAATTACCGCGTCTGTCAATCTCGGCGCGCCAGATGGGTCGGATCGTGGAGGCAACTATTGTGGCTTGCTTGTTCTATGGGGCCGAGGTTCGACCGTTTTCGAGGACAGAGTTGCGCCGTTACACTATTTTCCTCAATCGCATTGTCCGTTACATCACGTGGGGCGCTGACTCCGGCGGCCTTCGGTGCATGGAAGGGCGACTCACGCAGGCCGATTTGCGTTTGCGCACTGGGCTTCGGACTCCAGAGGAGTATGTGGCACGGAGGCAGCTTGGATACGTTGGTCATCTCGGACGGTACCCGACAACGCACGTTGAGGCGCAGGTCCTGGGCTCAGCTTTTGTAATGCGTCGCAATAAGACCTCTACCGCGGCGGCGGGGCACAATCTGATCGACACGTACTGGTTCTGGATCACGAAGGTGATGGGGCACACCGACATCCCAGAGGAGCAGTGGCCGACGGCCTGGAAGGGTGTCGCCGTTGCCGGGCCGACGAGGGGCGCCGAGTGGCGCCGCCTGAGTGGTGCCGTGTGCGCCGAGATCGCTCGCGCTGCTGCTGGAGATACCTGGGTGAAACGGCATTCGCAGGGCAATTCGGCGGAGGAGGTGATTGCCATGCTGGAGAACGTGGCACGCAATCCCCAGACTGGCCTGTTAAGATGTCCCAAGTGCTCGAACGAGTACCCCACCAAGAGCATATACGTCCACCTGCGGGGGTGCACCGGGCAGGCGGCCACCCAGCGGCAGCCGGTGCAGTGCGACCGGTGCGGCCGATTCTTCCGCAACATGGTGCATCGCCAGAAGGTCTGTAAGGAACCCCGCCGTCGACTTCGAGGGAAAGGTCCCCGCGTGCGGGTTCCTACCGACCGCGTGCGCCTGCCCGGGGAGTTCATCTCGCAGCGCCGGGCCAAGCATGCCAAAAGGACGGGTCCGCCAGCCGCCAAGGTGGAGCCTGCGCGCCCCACGATTGCCAAACGTCCAGCCTCGGCAGCGTCTGCGCGGCGCCGCGAGCAGGGGTTCAGGTGCCCGTACTGTGAGACCAAGCAGAAGAGCCCGACGCACAGGTACGTGTGCAAGTTGGCGCCATACGAGGTGTGGCAGGCTCGTGTCAAGACTAAGCAGGTGCGGGCTTTCACAGCAGAGGTGATGGTGACGTGGACACATCGTTGTACCATGTGTGACATGCGCTTCCCTTCTGTACGAGCTGCCGCTGGTCACGCCACGGATTGTCGTAAACGCAGGGAGCGGGTGGGACTTCCTGTGTGCCGCTAGCTACGACCAGATCGGGAGGGGCCCCTCTAGCTTCTACCAGCACGCTGTGTACGTTATGTGTACGTTATGTGCTCAAGGCACTCTAGAGGGTGCTCTTTGTATTTGGGTAATTCCAGTGGTGCTCTTTTGTCTGTCCAGTGAACCACCGCTCTTACGAGCGCGTTTACTTCGTCATGCGCGCCATCTCGCTCATCTTCAGTGTGTCGGTTCCGTCTTTGCTTCTCTTGGAGTATTTGTACTGCTGCCATGTCTACTATCACATCATTCACGTCGTCAATTTCACCATCGTCGGCTTCCCAGAGGACCCGAGAGGGAGGAGGGGGAGGAGACGATTGATGGCTATCTTCGGGGAGATATCTGATGCAGTGTGTGGCGGCATCCTTGTTTTGTGATACTGGTTCCTGGCTTGTCCGTTTCGCGTATGTGGGGCTACCATGTCTACTATCACATCATGCACGTCGTCAATTTCACCATCATCGGCTTCCCAGACGACCCGAGGGGGAGGGGGGGGGAGAAGATAGATGGCTATCTTCGGGGAGATATCTGATGCAGTGTGTGGCGGCATCCTTGTTTTGCGATACTGGTTCCCGGTTTGTCCGTTTCGAGTATGTTGGTCCTTTGACATTACTATTGCCTTTTTGGATATGCATCTTCACACGTATTTGTCCCTCAGCCGTTGGATCTGGGTTGTGTTGTTTTGCAAAGGCCGCCGGTGACCGCCCACCCTGATGGCAGAAGCAGCGCTGGCGCAGCTCGGGGAGGCGCCTGCGGCCCCTGCGCAGGGTGCCGCCCGAGGAGGCGGCCGCCGTGCGCCGCTGCGCACTGTCGAGGAGGTGCTGTCGGCGGTCGTCCGGCTGGGCATTTTCACGGACAACACGAACTTGGTCTTCTTGGTGCATGAGCAGTCCCTCAAGGACAAGATCCAGGGCATTCGAGACAAGTGGAAGGCTAATGAACCCGGCACCGCCAACGCGCCGCACCCCAGTGGCCAGCCGCAGCGTCTGCTCGTTTGGAGCGGGCTGATCGTGGCCCTCCGGGACGCGTGCAAGGCCGATCCCCCTGCTGGGCAGCCCCCCGAGGCCTGGCTGGCCGCCAGGGCGGCCGCGGCGTCGCTCGCCGACGCGTCGATGGAGGAGATGGGCCGCCTCATCTTCCGCCTGCAGGCCAAGCGCAAGGAACCGCTCAAGGGCGACAAGAGGCCGTGGTGCTGGACGCTCACACTCAGCCCGAATGCGTCGTCATCTCTTGTCCGTGACTTGTATCAGACCGCAGCGTGCGGCAGCAAACCCAAGAGCATTTGCTTGGTGCCGCAGCGCTCGGAGGACGGACCGTTGGTGGAGTCACTTGCCGAGTGGCAGCGCTTCCTGAGAGGCAAGGGCGGCGGCAAGGGGGGCGCGAGTGGCAAAGGTAGAGGCGGTGGCCGCAAGCGCCAGCGCCGCGCGGACGGGGGGTGATCCCTCGCGCCTGCGGGGGGCCCGCGCAGCATCATTGTCGACGTTTTGGGCGCATTCTCCACAGTCGTCTGGTTGGATTTTCTTCGCATACTCCGGGGGCGTGCGTAGCAACTCCTACGGGATCGTGAGCGCCATTTGCAATCGCATATATGCTGTCAGCGAAGGCTTTTTATCAATTGCGCCACTTTCGTCTTCACCGATCCGGGCACGAGGGTGCTTGAACGAAGATTTCGTTGAGGATGCATGTTCTACCACTTCGATCTTCGATGCTGTGGGCCGTCGGCCGCGGCGGCACGGCCCCTCGCGAGGGGCGGGGGCCTGCCGTGCCGGCCTCTTCGGAGGCGCCGCGGCCCCGCGGGGCCTACCCGCAGTGCATGTTTTTTCTACGTGACGTCGCTGCTTTTGGGCGGCCGGTCTCCACGCTGCCGCGGGGCCCGGCCGATGCACGACGACGCGGTTACTGACCTACCTTGTCGACCTGCCCGTGGCGGCAGAGCTCAAGTGCACCGGGGGTGGTCCTCGCTTTTCAGCTCCTGCTCAGCATGCTGTGTGATGTATCGCGGAGACGTAGTGCCCAAGGATGTGAACGCTGCGGTAGCTACTATGAAGACCAAGCGCACCATTCAATTTGTCGATTGGTGCCCCACGGGCTTCAAGTGCGGCATCAACTACCAGCCTCCCGCAGTGGTCCCTGGTGGCGACCTGGCTAAAGTCATGCGCGCCTGCTGCATGATCAGCAACTCCACCGCCATCGCAGAGGTCTTCTCGCGCATCGACCACAAGTTCGATCTCATGTACTCGAAACGCGCGTTCGTGCACTGGTATGTGGGCGAGGGCATGGAGGAGGGTGAGTTCTCAGAGGCTCGCGAGGACCTGGCGGCGCTGGAGAAGGACTACGAGGAGGTGGGCATCGAGGCGGCGGAGGGTGAGGGCGAGGAAGAGGGTTACGGCGACGAGGTCTGGGCAGGCTGCCACAGGAGCAGCTGCGCAAGGGAGGCTGACCGAGGAGTCGCGATTAGATCGCTGAGAGACGGCGTGCTTCCACGACTTTTCCAAGACTTGCGTTCTTCCACGCAGTAGATCGGCGTGTCTTCCACGCTGACCTTTGGCCGTTCACTTGCACGACACATTTTGACTCTGGGTGGCCGACTTGCCAGACCGTCTCGTGCCCCTAGCACCTTGTCATCGCGTTTGCAGAGGACAATTGAAACAAGTGTCAGGGGCGCCTTTCGGCTGTTGTGCGGCTTCTCGAATGAGACTAGAAACTAGTGCGCGCCTCAGTCCTCTCACGTGGCTGCTCGTGCCAACGCATGTTGCCAGCCATAGAGGCGGGTGCCTTTGCAGTGCTTGCTCGTGTCTACCCTGATCGCGGTGCTAAACAAAATCTCATTACCGATATCACAATCGATCTCACAATCAACGTCATCTATCAATCATCATCAACATCATCGTCATCAGCGTCACCAACATCATCATCGTCAGCATCATCGGGACACCATCATTCTCATCATCACCTCATCACCATCATCACCAACATCATCAACATCGCCATCATCACCATCATCATTATCACCATCATCGGGACACCATCATCGTCACCATCATCATCATCATCGTCATCGACACCATCATCAGCGGGACACCGTCGTCATCATCGGAGCACCATCATCATCTCATCATCATGATCCTGAACAGCATTATCAACATCATAATCATCGGGACACCATCATCATCATAACCATTAACACCATCATCATCAACATCATCATCGTTATCGGAACACCATCATCATCGTCACCATCTTCATTACCATCATCATCAGCATCATCGGGACACCACCATCGCCACCATCAACATCAGCATCATCATCACCATGATTGGGCCACCACCATCAACACCATGAACATCACCTCATCATGATCGTCGTCATCAATATCATCATCGGGACACCATCATCGTCATTATCAGCATCATCGTTATCATCATCATCATCTGGACACCATCACCATCATCACCGTCATCATCAACAACATTATTATTATCAACCTCATCGTCATCATCATCTTCATCATCTGGACCATCATCAACATCATCATCATCTTCCGCACCATCATCATCGAATCATCTGATCATCATCAACATCATCAGGATCATCAACATCATCATCACGGCACCATCATCATCAGCAACATCATCATCATCATCAACATCATCATCATCATCATCGGGGCACCATCATCACCACCATCACCATCATCATCATCAACATCGCCAAAATCATCATCATCATCATCATCATCGGGACACCATTATCACCGTCACCACCAACATCCTCATCATCATCATCATCACCATCGTCAACACCATCAACATCATCGTCATCATCATCCTTATTATCATTATTATCAGTATCGTTATCATCATCATCATCATCATCATCATCATCATCATCATCATCATCGGGACACCAACGGGACACCGGCGGGACACCGCGCGCCACCGGCCCCCGAGCGGGACGCCGGCGGGACACCGCAGGGCAACGGTTGCCGGAAGGGAGATTTTTGGTCCGGCCGCGCCTCAGCTACAGGAGATTTATTTCTCGCCCGCCCACGCAGCTTCGCCTCGCCCGCCCGCACGGCACGCACGAACACGAAACCGAAACCGATTTCCCAGTAGGGGGGCTCTCCGTTCCACTTCGACCTCACCCCCTCACCTCCGATATATATATATATATATATATATATATATTATATATATATATATATATATATATATATATATATATATATATATATATATATATATAAATCGGAGGTTGGGAAGTGAGATCGCAGTGAAACGGAGACCCCCCGCTGGGAAATCGGTTTCGATTTCGTGTGTCGTGCGTGCGGGCGAGGCGAAGCTGCGCGTGATCCTCCTGTAGCTAGGCCGAATTAGGAGCGAAAGTCCGTTCCCGTCCGCCGCTGGCTGGGAGGTGTCCCAGTTGGGCTGGGCGGTGTCCCGGGTGTCCCGGGTGTCAGTAGGAGCGAAAGTCCGTCTCCCGTCCGCCGGTGGCCGGGAGGTGTCCCAGTTGGGCCGGGCGGTGTCCCGGGTGTCCCGGGTGTCCCGGGCGTCCTCGCAGTAACGCATGTCGCTAATTTCATAATTCATTTTTTTCGGCACCTGCGGCGGGCTTTCTCATCCAATCCAACTTATCTTATCCAATCCATCTTGTCCAATCCAAACCATGTTATCTTATCCAACCCATCTTGTCCCATCTTATCATATCCCACCCAATCCAATCCACCCAACCCAATCCATCAATTTATTTGTTTCTGCGCCTGCGGCGGGCCAATCCAATCCATCTTATCTTATCCAATCCATTTTTTCCAATACAACCCATCTTATCATATCCAATCCATCTTGCCCATCAATTCCAATACACCCAACCCAATCCATCAAACCATTTTTGTCGGTGCCTGCGGCGGGCTTTCTTATCAAACCCGGCTTATCTACTCCAATCCACCTTGTCCAATCCAATCCATCTTATCTTATCCAACCCATCTTGTCCCATCTTATCCTATCCCACCCAATCCAATCCACCCAACCCAATCCATCAATTCATTTGTTTCTGCGCCTGCGGCGGGCTAATCCAATCCATCTTATCTTATCCAATCCCTCTTATCCTATCCAATCCAATCCACCCAACCAAATCCATCAATTCATTTTTGTCGGGATAGGTAGATAGTTGGATCTCCTCGTCATCGCTAACATCATTGTGGTGGAGGGAGACTCTGGTAGAAAGGTAGAGAGAGAGAGGGCGAGAGAGAGAGTGAGAGAGAGAGAGACAGAGAGAGAGAGAGAGAGACAGAGAGGAAGAGTGAGATGAGATCATGGTGCCAGGCTGGAGGTCAGTCAGGCTGGGCATTTGATCTCAATCCCCCCCCAACCTCCTTATCGCCCGCAGGGCGGTCGTATAGGTATATCTGAGTAGGCCGTGGTGGGGGCCTGGGCCGGTGCCATCATCCCCCATGGGCGCCCCCGGAACCTTTTGGGGGTCGCAGACCCCCCGGGACTGCCCGGGGCCGCTTCCAAATTGCCCACGAATGGCCACGCGGGCCGTACAGATGGTCAAGAAAGCCTCAAGAGGCCCCGAAGACGCCCAAGAGCGCCCCAAAAGGGCCCGAGATGATTTCAAGATGGCCGACGAGGGCCCCAAGAGGGCCTTCAAGAGGCAAAAATCTGCCCGTTCTCGTGGTAAAACGTGCATTTTCAGCATACTCCCTTGCTTTGTATTCGCAGTGCCCCAGACGCGTTTGAGGAGCCCCAACACAGCCCAAGAGAGACCCAAGATGGCCCAAGACGGCCAAAAAGGGTCGGCCTGTGGGGCTCACGGAACCCTTTGAGACGGCCCAAGAGGCCCCAAAGCCGGCCCAGGAGGCCCCCAAGACGGTCTCAGGGAGGCCCAAACAGGGCCTCGTTCGAAATCATGTTCCCGGAAGCCTCTCTGGGAACATGATTTCCCGGTTCCGAGGACGCCCAAGAGGCCCACATGACAGCCTCAGCGAGGCCCAAGAGGGCCGCAAGAGGGCCCGAGATGGCTTGAAGATGGCCGAAAAGGGCCCCAAGAGGGCCTCCAAGAAGCAAACATCTGCCCATTCCCTTTGTAAGACATACATTTTCAGCATACTCACTTGCTTCGTCGTCACAGAGCCCCAGACGCCCACGAGGAGCCCCAACACAGCCCAAGAGAGACCCAAGAGGGCCCAAGACGGCCCGAAAGGGTCGTCCTGTGGGGCTCACGGAACCCCCCGAGACGGCCCAAGAGGCCCCGAAGCCGGCCCAGGAGGCCCCCAAGATGGTCTCAGGGAGGCCCAATCGGGCCTCGTTCGACATCATGTTCCCGGAAGCATCTCCGGGAACATGACTTCCGGGCTCCCAGGACGCCCAAGATGCCCACAAGACAGCTTCATCGAGGCCCCAGAGGGCCCGAGATGGCTTCAAGATGGCCGAAGAGGGCC